CTCTCATTTGCTGTGGGCAGCAGCTTCCCTCCGTACACCCACTGCTGCCTCTTGGATCCTTGCCTGCAGGAGGGAAAAAGGCACCATATACCCCTGTCCAGGGACTGCAAAGCTTGTTAGATAGCATGTATGGAGGGAATTACATCAAATATAAAATTTAGTTGTGTTTGGCAAGCTCTGGATCAGACAAAAGTTTTATGAAGAGACCCTGGGAGCTGAATAAGCAGCCATATGTTTTCCTGCTGCTAAATCAAAGTGTTTTCTACTGTAAGTGCACTTGCCCAAAGACTTTCTGAAGACTGGCTATTTCATAGCACTTTCTTTGCTGCTTGGCCACCAGTGCAAGCAGGTAATAGCAAGCAAGCTGCCTGGGAGATGGTCATCTGAGCTGTGCAAAATCCTGGTGGTGTTGGCAAGATGGAGCCCGAAGTGTGTGTGCAAGAGGGCACATGTGCACAAAGCTTCACTTTGTAGTGTAAGAAAGTAGTGTAGTTTTTTCTTCTATCCAAACCAATCCTGAATCTGTAGAACCTGTTTTTAAAAAAGATGTCCAAGCCTATAACTGATCTAAACTGTTACCTACTACATTTAGTTTTGCGTAAGTAAAGAGTGCACAATCAAATCTACAGATTGTGGGTATTATTTGTTTCTTCCATGTATTGGCACATGTGTCTGAGCTGGTATCAAGGACATAAGTTGTAAGTATCTAGAATATTTCTATGGTAGCCCAGATTTCTTACACAGAACACCACCCAAACATAGAATCACCATTAGCACACTGTGGGACCTATTTTGGATACAGTATGAATCAGTGCTGCTCTGCCTGTCTCATCATTGTCTGTTCAACAGCAAAATGACCTACTGGCAGTGTTACCCAATTGCCTGGCAACAATCACCTCAGGGTAGGGCATGCCTCCTTTCCAAAGGAAGCCTTCGGGCATGTTGTTATAAGGTGTGCAGAGTTTTACTCACCCGACCGTGGTGTCTCCGGAACTGGGAGGTTCCTGGTGCCTGATGAGTCTGCCCATGTTCCCATGTGCTCAACCCCAGTGGAGGAAGCCCAAACCAAGTCAGGGAGCTCTTTTGAAGGACACAAGAGACTATGCCTTTGCACAAGCTGTAACTTGTACAAGGCTGTGTTTGCTGGTTTTGTTCCTTGCAGTGCCTTTCAGCCCTTCTTGCCTATCCATGCAGAAGTGCAGCTTTATCTGCTCAATACTGCCTCACCCACCTGTACAAGATGTGCAAGGCACTGCCTGCTGTTCCCTTGTCTCCTGCTGGTCTCTGCTCCATGCTCAGTGAAGAGGGAAGGTTAAGAGAGGTTGGGGCAAAACTTAGATCATCTGAGAACAGAAGCAAAGCAGTTTCAGGTGCAAAATTTACTGGATCCCTGCTTGCCTGAAGTTTTCGTTCATTTTTGGAGTCCTTTTGTGTAAGCTGGCTGATAGATGCCAGTGCTCTGAGCACATCTGCTTGCTTTATTCCCAGCGACATGCTTGCCCCTGCTGCTTCCCATGGACCAGGCAGGGATGTGACAAAAATAAAAGCAGGAAAATATCACAGTAGCAGCTCTGTGCTCCTCACTTAATAGCAGAAACGCCTTTTGCTTGGCAGCACTGAGATAAGCCCAGACCTTACTGGGAGGGGGGAAGGGAAGATTATTAGTAGCTATAAATCATTCTAAAAGGATGGGGGATGGGTTCCCTCCATACCCTGCCCTTGTGCAGACATGTTTGCTGTGAGCAGTCCTGGCAGACAGTATGAGCTGCATACTCATACTGTTGTAGGCAGCAGTTTGTCAAAGGTTGCATTTCAGGCTAGTTATTTCCAGAAGTAGCTGGATTTTAAAACATGTTTACTTTTGCCAGATGCACTTCTCTTTTATATTTTTGTGCAACCTTGTAGTTTGTCCTTAGGGGAGAGGATTATGTCAGTACCTGAGTGCATGGAATACCTTTGTGCTGCCAGTGGCTCTTATGTGATGGAGAAGAGCACTCGAACTTCAAATTCCTCTGAAGTGGACACAGAAGGGAACTGACACCACAAGCACTGGCAATGAACTGAGATGTCACTGTGAATGCCAGCTGCTTTTCCTGGTGGCTCTTGGAGTTTCTTCAGGAAGCTTCAGTATTTCCGTGTTCCTGGCTGTTGTGGCTTTGCTGTTGCTGGTGATACACAATTGCTTCTAGCAGTCTATCACACATTGTATAGTTATCAGTCTTGAAATGCAGCAAGCTGTATGGCTCAGTCTCCAGCAGTGTTCCAGTGCTGGCATTAATCCACTGTTGTTCTTGACCCTTTGGCAGTTTATCTGATTGACAGGGAATCATGGTAACAGTGTACTGTGCTTGGTGTTCCTTACAGGGGTGAGTAACATGCCTCTCTCCCTTCTTTGGTAGCAGAGGAAATAAAGGCCCCAAGAAACCAAGTGACTCAGTTAAGGTCCAGAGATCAGGAGAGGACCCACACTGTGTTTCCTGAAGGCTCCTTTTGATTTAATGATATCCTTAGGGATATGTCTTATGGATTTTATGACAGCTCTCAAATCTGGTGGGACTGTAGGCAGCTGTCAGTGCTCAGGATTTCTTCAGAGCTGCGAACTATCTCCATGTGCAGGTTTTGGCTGGGGTAGAATTGTTTACAGTGGCTGGTAAGGGGGTGTGTTTGGGATTTGTGCTGAGCACAGGGTTGATAATACAGAGATGCTTTTGTTATTGCTGAGCAGGGCTTACACAGAGCCAAAGCCTTTTCTGCTTTTTGCACTGCCATGCTGGTGAGGAGTCTGGGGATGCAGGGGAGGCTGAGAGGAGACACAGCTGGGACAGCTGCCTCTGACTGACCAAAGGGATATTCCAGACCACATGATATCATGCCCAGTATATAAAAAGGGGGAGGGAGATGTTTGGAGCGATATTGTTTGTCTTCCCAAGTAGCCATTATTCATAATGGGGCTCTGCACTCCTGGGGATGGCTGAACACCTGCCTGCCCATGGGAAGGAGTGAATTCATTCCTTGTTTTGCTTTGCTTGTGTGTGTGGCTTTTGCTTTCCCTATTAAACTGTCTTTGTCTCAGCCCAGAGGTTTTAACTTCTACTCTCCCAATTCTCTCCCTGGTCCTGCAGGTGGGGGAGTGAGTGAGCAGGTGAGTGGGTCTTGGCTTCTGGCTGGTGTTGAACCACAATACCCCATCACAAGGTTTACAAGAGGTACTTTCAAGGCAATGAATGCAGTGGAGTGGCTGCAGATTGCACTCAATGCCCTCAACAGGTCACCGGTCAGCTGGGGGCTGCAGCTTGGCAGGTGATGATCTTCACATGTAAATCAGATTTTCTGTATCCATTTGGTGCTTTGTTTGGTATTTTTATCAGCACTTCCTCTGTCAGTTCAAGGACTGCTTGCAGCATTCAAAGTGGCATGCAAGTAGTCACTCACTATTGGTTGACCCATCTGAAGCTCTTTGGATTAATGTTGAGCACCTTGGTCAGCTTGGACATCTGTGAACCACTTCTATGTCCTTCCTTTTTCCATGAAACGCTTTCCTAGTAGAGAGGTGAAAAAAGAAAAACATCTTGTGATTTTTCTTCTGGTTGGGGAAAATAGTCCACTGCAGCTGTGAGGAGACATGCTGTGAACAGCTTCGGATTTGACCCAGAGAAAACAGTGATTGCTTCTAGTGTATGACACCTCTAGACAGGGAGTGTTTCCCCGGGGGCAATGATTTGCCAACCAAACCCTAGTTAAGAGGGATTTCTAAGTCTTGTGAATGGTATTTAAGTCTGAAAGCTCTGCTGGGTTTGCTCAGCTGCTTTCCAGCATGCTGAAACCTAGCATGAATGTGTAGAATGAATACCAGTTGTAATGGAGTCATAAATGAGCTATGTCTCAGCTGCAAGACATGTTTTAATCTGTACTCATGTCTGGGAGCAGTCCACCCTTCTCATTTCCTCTGCCTATTAAATAATGGACGAAAGCCCATAGAAATCATTACACTCCTTTCACAAATTCATTCAAACTGCACAAAATCTTATGTAGTGTTTGCAAAGCTACAAACTTGATGTTATTTACCCTCTGCCCAGGCAATAATGTTGGCCCAAAGAGGTCTCAGTTGTTAAGAGGACACCTCTTTAAAAGAGGTAGGGTAAAATGAAGAAGCCATTTAGTTGATTTGTTTAATAATGCCAAGTTTTAGCTGGGACCTTTTTCATGAGGAGTGTCATACTGATGGCATTGCTGCATAGTGTCTTCTGTCTGGGACCACATGGAGAGGAAAGGGAGATGCAATATGGCAACAGGTATCCAGGTGAGCTGTGGTCAGGCAGGAGGGTTGGTACTTCTACTTTTTCAGACACTACTGACAGCTTGTGGTTTAAGGATGAAGTTTCTGATGCCTTTCCCCCTTTCAATCTCTGTGGATCATTCACTGCTTTGGGATTGATCTTGCTGAAGTCAGTAAATGTGTATTGCACCTGTTTCTGGGAAAAAGCATATTATTATTACAACGAAAGAAGCAATCCAAAATATTGAGCCCAAACCTTTCCTTCAAGGAAGAAAACAAACTAGATTGTAGTGCGGGCAAAACTGTTTGTGATTGGCATTGGTATTGCAATGACTCTGATACTCTTTTCTGTCACCTCTGTTCTTAGAGACTTGGACTTCTGTCTGTCCCCGGCACCTTTTGTTTCAGAGAGCTCTTCTCTGTCCAGGAAAGTTGCTTTCTTTATGATCTTGCTCTCTAGCATGAGAATTGTCTTGAGTGAAAATACTATTTCTGTTATTTACCTGTTGTCCTCTCTGCAGATTTCTATCTGTGGGTGCCAAAACAAAATCCTTTATCTAAAAGAGCTAGATGGATTTCTTCTGAGAATTTACTTTCATTAATTTTACCTTCTTTGCTTCCAGGTGCCAATGAGAAAAAACACAACTTCTCCAACTCCTTTTTAAATATTGCTATGGAAATCTCCTCCCTGGAAAGTCCATTCACTCTTTTTGTTTTCTCTTAGGTGACTCCAGGCAGCAAAGCTGCAATAGCCAACTTGTGTATAGGAGACCAGATCATAGCCATTGATGGAGTGAATACAGATAACATGACGCACCTTGAGGCACAAAACAAAATCAAGGCTTGCACAGATGAACTGACTCTGACAGTCAGCAGGTACGTAGCTGAGCAAGACTGGGGCTGGAGAGAGGGAGGATTGCAGGGTGGGCAGTAGCTGTGTTTTAGTTTGACAGTACACCTCTCACCTCTCTGGCTGGTTTAATTTGACCTCTTAGTGCTTTGTCTGGCAGGTGCTGGCTAGCAAGAAGGAACTGCATTTCATCCTTTAATCCCAATGCTGCTTGCATTTGCTGCACTTTGATCTTAGGAAAATAGCTTTCCAAGTGAGAATTGGCTGGTAATTTACGGCAGGGTCTGTCAGCTTACTTTGTGTCTCCTGACAGCAAGAAACCAAGGATAGTCTCATGAAAACTTCACTCATAGCAGAGGAGGTGCAACCAGAGATGCCCTTCCTTCCTGTTGCACTCCTTTAGCAGTTAAAAATATATGCTTATGTGTTGTTCCAAGCGATTAATTGCCTGGTTTCTGCCAAGCACAGACTCAGAAATGTTGTACATTTTGAAGCCTCTTGATCAAACAGCACTGTCAGCCTCAAAGAGTGATGGCCCAGCCTGCAATGAAGTTCCTCTTAGGCATCGGTGTCTTCATGTCCTGAAAAACTAAAGGCAGCTGAGCCACTATTTCTGCCACTAGTGTAGAGCACTGGCTGGCTTCAGCCTTCCCACCATCTTGAACTGCAGAGCAATGGACAGCTTCATTCCTTTCCCCAGCCATGCTTTGTTCTTGGGCCATCTTTGTACGGAGATGGAGTGGAGATGGGAAGGCAGAGCTCTGCTTTGCATGGACCTGTTGCTACTTAAAAGAACTGCAGCCTGGTTTTTTTGAGGGTGCTGGGGATTTATCCTTCCTTTTGGTGTGAATTGCAGCTGCAGGTACTGGTGCTTTTCGAAGTCAGGTGGTAGATGCAGTATGGCATTTCTAGTTGCTCTGGAGCAAGTTTTTCCTGTGCCTGCCTTTCCTAAGAATGATCATCCATCAGTTTCAGGGCAGATACAGGGGAAGTGCTTTCAAAAGGAGTGCAAAAGCATGCCTTAAATGATACAATGGTTTGGTTGTTCAGGGCTTTTCTGTGATGAACAGAAATCTTTACCGTGGCTTGGACAATGCCAGGAGTTCAGCAGGCATTTCCCAGTTCAGGAAGAAGTGATGGGTCTTGGCCAAAAAAAATGCCTGACGGTTCATTAAGGGAATTCACAGATGGAAGAACGGACCACATTGCAGGCAGTGTGAATGGGCAGTGAACATTGCAGCAGCCTGTAAACCCCAGAGTTTCTCATACTGGCCTTGAATTTAGCAGCATATAATCTTCCTGGAAAGGGGTGTTCCTTCTATCCAAAATCCAGCTGCTTGACTTGGCAAACTATTGCCATGTGGTTCTGGCTGGGAAAGAGGAAGGGAGGCAAGGGTTCTTTCAGCCTGTGGGCAAGTTCACTCTTACAGATCATTGAGTCTGGAAAATGTGTTTGCTAATGTTAATTACAAAGTCATTACATTTATAGCTACCCTATGCACATTTCATTTGCCTTGGGCTTGGAAGCTGCCATTTCTTGGAAGCTGGGACAGATTTCTAGCTGGATCTGCAACTGTGTAAAATTGTGCAGGGGCTTTCAGTTTACACTACTCAACTCTTTCAAGACCCTCTTTCAATGAAGTAGCATGAGTGTGTGTTGGATGCCTCTGCTGCTGTATTGATCACTGAGTTCTGCTGACAGAAGGCCAGGAAGAGTGTCAAAATGCAAGAATGTGAAAGCAGTGATCTGACTTCTTACACTTTAGAGCTTGATATTACTACCCATTGCTCTATGGAAAATCTGTGTGCATCATGTTGTCTTTCCTGGTTGTACTCTGTTGAGAATATTTTATCCCTAATGCCCAGTGTCCTTCTAGGCCTCCATAATTGTGTTGGTCAGAAGTGCTGTGTAGTCTTTATTGCTGAGGGAGGAGCACTTCTTTACTTTACAATCTAAGGCCTTAAAATGAAAGGCCTTGAGATGATGTGTAGAGAGGTGACAGAGAAAGCATTTTAAAAGACTTGGAGCCATACTTCATCTTCCCGCTCAGCTTGAGATGGGGGAAGTGGGTGAGGAAAGCAGATTGTGGTGTGGTGATGATCCCTCTTCTGTGAAGAAGGGAAGGGCATTGTCATGGGGGTGGAGATGTTGGAAGGCTCTTGGGGAAAATGAGTGCCACCTGGCCAAGTGGTATGGCTTGGGCTTTCTGAGCTTTGATGGTCACAGCTCTGCACTAAGGCTTGACCATACAGTTGGTGAGGAGGACTCACAATACAGTCAGGTCAGAGCTGGAAGTTTTTTCTATGTCAAAGTAGCTCTGTAAGTAGTTGGCTGAGTATGAAAAGGAGTGTATATCATTTGCACTGCAACACCACCAACGCTTGGGTCTGGTCTCCACTCTGTGAAGTTGTAGCTCGTTAGCTGAATCAGATGTACCAAGGAGCTGTGCTGGCACAGATCGTTGCTCTGACAGAGCAGCATCTCTGTGGGTTAGAACATTACACAGCTGGTGTGAGAATGTGCCCAGCTGTGCCAGGTTTTCTGGAGTGAGAATTCTTCCCAGTCCTCCTTTTCTACTCACCATTGGAGAGATGTCTTGTGAAAGCATAAATCCTTAGTGATTTTCAAATTGCTAGCTGATGAATTTTGAATGACTTACCCATGCTAAATATTCTCTTACCTGCATTCAGTGTGGCAACAAGGTTGTGCCAGGTGCATTTCATTCAGAGGTCTGAGCTCACACCAGGTGTTTCAGTTTCACCAAAGGATCAGCACTTTTGTGACAGTGGAGACTTCATTTGTGACTGTGCTGTACATGTGATGAGTGTATGTGGTTTGATGACTCTAGCTGATGAATTATTGCAAGACAAATCTTTAAAGGATAATGTATACAATGGAGGTATCTCTGCTGCAGAAAGCCTTTAAAAGCTGCAAGTAGCTGGAAGCTAGGAGAGTGTTTCATGGAAGTGTTATGCTTGTCTTTTTCGTCTGCTCTTCTGTGAACCAAAACAATATTTATACGTGTGTATTCTTCAAATAGGCAACTCTCTTCTCTTTTAGTGATAGCCAAGCAGTTAAGATGTTTTCATGTTTGGCTTACTAATGATTATTTAAGCGAAGTGTAAATATAGAGAATTGAAAGGACTTAAACACTTCTGGTAAAGGAAATGCTGTTTGCACTGTATGCTTGATTGTGTATATCAACAGCATTCCAATGTTTCCTGTTTCGTTATTTTTCTTAGCGATGGTTAACAGTCCAAAAATATTTCAGACCAGATTGTAGGCAGGAAATCTTGTCTAACACAAGTCACCATTAAAAACGTATCAACTTTCTAGCTGAAGAAAACATGCCTGGTCTGCTTTTTCACCCAAAGGGGCAAATGTAATTTCCTAGGATTTAAAACCCAGGCACAAATTGCTTTCTTTGAGTACTCTTTCCTAAGTGGCACTGCCAAGTGCTTTGCTGTTCGACTTGTGAACAGAGTTGGAAGGGTCTGTCTTCTGCCTCGAAAGTGGGTGCTCAACAATGTTGCCATAGATAACAAATTCCCATTGAACTCACTGTGTCCAGCAGCTCCCACTCTTTTCTGAGCCTGTTTGTTCATTCGTTTTGCTTTTGTTTCAAGAGTAATGTAGTTATCAAGAAACCAAAGTAAAGGTTCCATTATTGTCTTCAGCAGTATACAATCAAGCTCAAAACAGTCAACTCAAGCCTACTTAGTTCCTGAACTGAGAAATTCACAGGGAAATTTTTGTGTCTTTCCATAGGAAAAATTAAGTTTGAATATTTTAGAAGAGCTGTTCTTCTTATTTCCATTTTGTTTGTTTTTTTTTTTTTAAATTAGGCTGTGAACATCACTGCACTGACATGTTAGGGTCGAGCAAAGCCTCGCCCAGTTCTGCTCTCCATTAATGGGGGTAAGCAGCAAGATATGTCTGACAACTATCAACTTTCTTGAGAAATTTAGTGTATTTTGAGTAAGATGCTTCCCCTGACAAAGAACATTTAAAACAAAGAAGAAACAGGAGAAACAGATACTCCTACCACAAAATTCACAGGTAGTCAAATGATCTAGGCATCACCCATGACAGTGGAAGTGCTCATGATGAATTTGACACACAGCTCTGTTGTGGCTGCAGATGTACAAAAGCAGACAAATGTTTGTTGCAGCACAGGTGAAAATTATTTCTAAAACAAATGGTTCTTTGCCTCTGGCTGTAGTCATGAGTGGTGAAACTGCGACCCTGAGCAAGTCAAAGGTAAAGTGTATATTTATATAAGACTTTTTTTCAACAAAGAAAGTGTTCTTGTAGTGAGTCTGTCCTTCCCTTTGTGTCTGGAGGCAGTTTGGGGGTGGTAGAGGGGAATGTTTTTAAAAAAGGGTTGCAAATATGTAACATTCTGTTCTGCTCCCACTGTCATTTTCCTCAAATTTCAAGCTGTTTTTCTGACACTCTGCTGCCAGCTTATAATACATTAATGCACCTTTTTTATATGCAAAATAGTCTTTTAATTTGTTGAAAGTTCTGCCAAGGAGCGAAGCTATGTATTTGTTCTTTGAAAAGTGCTAGGATCAGGGAAGTCAGACCTGTTACCAGGACCTGTTAGATGGATTGTCAGAAAGGATCATGTGTAGATGCTTATAAAGAAGAGAGCACATGTTTCATGTCCTCTATATTTTATGTAGTAGGTCTGGTTGCCCTCTTGCTTGCTTCATGTGCTCTCAGGTCTGAGCTGTGGGGAATAGTTGCACAAAGCCACAATAGGCTTGGATTTCTGTTCTAGGAAGTTGGTGGAATCCGTTGACTCATTTAGGTTTGCTTTTTTGCTTCCTTGCCAAGAAGAGTTTTCCAGTTCTGTCATCTTACTAATAATTCCTTTGGCCCTGGGAAAAGCCAGCTGCTCAGTGTGCAGCTATATAAGGCCATGCAGGTTGCCTGGCCCTCTGTGGCTGCTCCCAACCTCTCCATGGCCAGTGTCATGCTTCCAGCCCTTGTGGGTGCACGCCAGCAGCTTTTACTAACAACAGACACATTCAAATTCATTTTAGCATATCAAGATTGGTATTTATGGTGATTTTACAGCCTCTTTGATGAGGCAGTAAGAGTTAACTCTGCAGCTGGCTAGTTAGAAGAGTGTGAGTCTGATCAGTCAGGTGCATCTTAGCCTTTGTAGTTGTCATGAAAGTGCTCCAGATAAACAGAAGAAGCCACAGAAGTTTAACTGGAGTTGCCTTTTTGGTTTTAGTGGTTGTATAAAGAGATACCTGAAATGCAAGAGGGTTATGCATAGAGATATGCATTTAGGACCTCCTGTCAGTGACTGTCATTGCTGTTTGAATTGGCAGGAGGCTGTGTGCAGCCTGAGTACAGTTTTGTTTGCCAAACCGAATATGTCCATTAATGGATGTTTGTTAAAAGTGACTACTCATGTTTAAAGCCAAGGCTCTGTATTTGACAGCTGCTGTAGCTAAAAGGCTGGTTAAAAGGTATCTTCCTGGTAGCCTGACAGCTCTTGTAGTTAGTTTCTAAACTTGATTAAAATGCCTGTTGAAAACTTTGGTGAGAGGATTGTGAAAGATAAATTATTTAGGTCTTTCCTCATTTTTCAGCTAAAAAAATTTGTGCTGCACAAGAAACTTTTCAGTCTTTTGGGATTTATTTGCTACTTAGTATCTTAGTTGTGTCTATGCGAGTGTTTGAAATGAGATATGAATGAAAGGAGATATGCCTTTCTTCTTTATGGAAATTACATAGTTCCTGGCACAAAGAATTAGACCCTCATTTTCCAGCTCTGAATTTTCCCTTGAAGCTATGGCCTAACTTTGCATGCAAAGCACTGATAGCAAAATCTGGGCTCTTGTAATGTTTATATTACATCATGTTCAAGACAAGCTGCTTGAAAAGTGTTTCATAAATGCCTCTTCATATTCCTGCCTTGACTTGCATGTGGTTTCCTTCTTTTCCTACCAGTACCTCTGCATCCAAAGTAGCATCAGAGAAATTTCTTTCTAATCTTAGGTTTTGGTTTCTGCCTGGATGAAACAGGAGATGCATGGCTCATTCCCTAGCCCTAAGTTACTCTCTGTCCTGTAGTAAGGAAACAGCATGGAAATGTGAACTGCAAAAATGACAAAATTTGTATATAGATGTGCCTGCAGTTAATTTCCCTGACCCTCATTCTCAGGCTTGTTTGTGTCATGTTTTTTTCTCCTTCACCGTTTGAGTGTTGCTCTCTGATGGAGTCTCATTTGAAAGAATATGCATTAGAAACCATATTATAAAATAAATAGTCACTAGTTTATCAGGAGTTTCTGAGATCCAATAAGGATGCCAAAGCCTCTGGCTTTCACCAGGCAGGGTGGGATTCCCAGCAGGCTGTTGGACATCCAGCCCGTAGACCAGTGGAGAGGCAGGTGTGGCAGCTCTGCTAGCATGGCCCTGCTCAGTGGCAGGGGTACAGCCTGCTAAGGGGAGCATGGAGGTGCTTTGTAAGCTGGGGGCCTTCTCCCTCAAATTTGGGGAACAAATGCTCCAGAAAGCCATTGCCAGCAGCAGCCTGGTGTGAACTGAGGGTGCTGTTACCAAGGCTGGGTTTAGCTGTCTACTCTGATGGCTGTTCCCTCTTTCATGTAACTAAGATACAGAAACATATGGATAAGATACAAAAATGGTGAGTCTAACCTGCCCTGCTGTCTGTGCCTCGTGCCCACACTTCCCAGCACTGCAGAAAGTAAGCCCTGGGCCAGTAGTGGGACATAAGGTGAACTTTTAGGTGATATTTTTCTTGCTCCTGCCACACTTCAGTAGAATTACAGGCATTGACACAAGAAGCACAGCCAGGAAACCCTTCCCAAGATCTGGGACCGTCGTGGTTCTACCTAAGACTCCAGACTGTAGGCTCCACATGTAGTGCAGTGGGATGGGGCACATGCCTTGAAAGATCTGCTGGGTAAAGCCAGGGAGAGCAAAGCTGTGTCCTTTTTGCTGCTTCACTGGGGCCATAAATGGGCTGATGAGAGTGGCTGAGGGGCTCTTCTGCAGCTGTTGTGAATACAAAGGGAAGCTTTATCTTCCCTGCCTCAGAGGACAGATGCATGGCCTATGTAACGTTTCTGTTTGGATGACTTCTAGACTGGATTGAAAGTAAAGCTTGGGGTGACCTTGCTGCTTCCATTTATATCCAATGACAGAGCAGTATGGCAGCAGTGTGGAGAACAAACTTGTGCTATTTGCCTTGCTCATAAATAAAGGAGAACAATTTGGTCAAACCCCCTGTGGGCTGCAGTAGTTGGCCATAATTGCCTCCTCTCCTTTGGAGACTAATGTGCTGTGTCACCAGCACCTCAAACGCATTGAGGGCCAGTGGGATGAAAACAAGTGCCTGGGGGAAGTTTCTGTTCCATATTCATACACTGGCCTGCTCTAGGCTTGAATTTTTCAGTATGAATAAAGCCTTCTTATGCTTCTGAAAGCTTGTAATAAACGGACGTAAAAGAAAATGCTACCTCAAAAGTTCTTGAATCACTTTTGCAAGAGCTGGCACAGGGATGCCTCATGCTAGAAATCAGCTGAAGTGTTTAATGCTTTCTGAGCTGCTCTTTCATCTCTAGCCAATGTCTCTTTGCTTATAGCCTGGCGAGCTGGGTGTCTCATTTCCATACATTTTGCTGTGTCCCCTGTTTTTCCAGAGGAGGTGAAACTTGGTCATACATGATCTCCAAACACTTTCAAGGAATAAGACTTTGTATTGGTCATCAGGCTGCTTCCCTATCTGCAAACAGTTTTCAGGGGTGGAAAATACAGCCATCCTGGAAATGGGTGGGACTTTGTGAGGCTTGATAGCTGTAATCTGGGTGAAATTATTGGTTCCTCAGGCACCTTGAAGCATGGGTGTCCAGAAGCAAGGAGAGAATGGTTGTTTTGTATTCACCTGAGGCATGTTGGGCACCCAGTAGCAGCAGCTGTTGTGACAAGATGATGATCAGATTGGTGTGGATCTGATACCATGCAGCTGTTAGTCATACTTGTCTGTGTGCCCCAGCTTGCCAGACAGCAGCATTTGAGTGGCATAGGTTGTCAGGTATCAGCTGGGTTTCCAGGATGCAATAACCAAGAGTCGAAGGTTTGCTGTACCTGAACACCCATAAAGGATATCAGGTGTGACCTGCGTGTTTGTACTTTTCCTGTGAAAGGAGGTACAGCACAGCAGACTTCATTCAGGTTTCTTCTGCGTGAAGTCCACAGTGCAGTAAAGGGAATAGCAGGTCAATAAAACTCTTCTTCTTTCCTGATTGAGAATGCTGCCTCCCATCTCCTCCCACTGAGCTGCCCTCTAGGTGCAAATATTAAAATATTATTTATGCAGCAAATGTCTGGGATGTATATGTGCATCTCAGCTACATTTGGGCTGTTTAAAAAATGTTGTGACTTTGGAGGGCTTTTAGAGGAATGGTGCACACCAGACTGAATATGTAGTGGGTAGCTTTATACCCTGTTTCTCCATCCTTTCAGAAGCCTTTTCTTTTTCTAGTCTCTTCCTCCTTTAACTGGAAAATCTCTTTCCAGTTATCCAGTTAATTCTCAATAGAAGCATTCCTGTTTTGCTAACTAAATACTTAAATTATAGCTGGTCCTTGACCCACAAATATCTAGGAAGTACATCTATTTCCAGTTCCAAATTCCAGAAGGGGCTCCTGTCAACAGGACAGAACATGATTTTCAGACCTCATCCTGAGAGTTTATCAGCCATCTGTTTGCTGCATGATGCAATGTTTAGCATTGAACAGCAGTTTTTATTCAACAATACTGCAGTCACTCATTTCCTACTATTAAAAAGTTTGGGAAAAGTGGCGCTGTTTAATCTGTCTGAGACACTAACTACTGTCTTTACTTCTGAGAAATGTAGGTACCATATGTTTCCCACAACATTTTTCAAGCAAATCTAAGCACTCCACTTCTTCCTCACCACTTGTTTGTCGTTCTTTGGGACATAGCAAAATTCCACGATGATGATGGTAAAACCAGTTGGTTTTAGTTGTAGATCTTGACTTGTGTTTCAGACTGCTGTGAGTAATTGGGTCAGACCACAGACCAGTAAAGGTTATTTAGACTTTCTCTGTCACATGAGGTTGTCTCAGTTCTTAGTCCCATTGCAGGCAGGGATTTTTTTTCATCACTCTAAAAGGCTTCTGTTTGTTCAACATGGATACCACTATAAATAAGAAGATACCAAATGAGAAAATATTTCTAGCGTATCTCCAAGGCAGTCCAACCTCAAGAACAAAATGTTCTTTGTATAGTCAATACAAACAAGAATCATTCCTCTTCCTGGCTACCCATAAAAGCTGAAGCACATAGCAATCTGAATTGTCCCACTTAATTAAGGCATCTGAATGATATCTCCAGGTTCTCCTTTTGGGTAACCCCAGCTTGACAGCCTGGGTGGGACCCCATGCCTGATGTGTTGCCTGTGGAGTCACAAGGAGTAAGCCAGGACAGTCACTACTGAGATCTTGTCGTGCTCCAAGGACCTCACTTATCTAAGCCACCTATGTTGTGTACCTAAAATGAGCCTGTCTAGATTCCTTCTGATGTAGATTGTGCTGTATATGAGAGACTGAGGAAATGTTTGAAAAACTGATGGACTTTGAGTCTTTTAATAATAATAATGCTGCTCACTGATGAAAACATTAATTATTCAAAATTTGTGTGTTGCAGAACAGAGGCAAAAGTCTGGTCACCACTTGTAAGCGAGGAGGGAAAGACACATCCTTATAAGATGAATCTGGCCTCTGAACCACAGGTAAGTCCTAGAATAACTGCTCTTGTTCCCTCTTACTCCTGTGAGAGAAATTCTGGGCCTGATCCTCCAAGGAGCTGAGCATATGCCACTCTGTTGATCATGTTGGGGATAGCATCATGTCCCATACTATCAACAGATCATGGAGATCATGTGGCCCTTGGAGGCCTTGAGAGACAGACTTCCTCCCTCATGGCTAGAAGCCTGCTGCTGTGGAGAGCTAATTGGGTGCCATGCCTAAGGTAACCTGCTTGGGTCAGAGGTGTCTCCTGCCATCTGCATGCTCACACCTACCACAGGGCACAGAAGGCACTGTAGAGGCACTGTGGCTCAGTAAATCATTGCTGCTGTGCTAAGACAGTTGGTTTTCTTAGATAGAAAAGACTTGAGGGGTGAGGAGTGTTTTCTCTTGGTTTGGTTTGGATTTTTTTTCTTACTCAGTAAGCTCTTAGCAGTCTAACTATGGAGAAGGTGGAAGAGAAATACACCAGCATCTTACATTTTTATCTGTGTGGCAGATCATGCAGCTTCTGTCTAGGAAATTGGTTTTGTAACCTGTTGACAGCCTTGCCTCATTGGCCTGCTGCTTCTGTCAAGTAAACGTAATAGCAGGGATCTGTCTAAGGGCATTGCCTGGGCTAGATTTAGAGGATTACACTGCAAAAAATCTAAAATAACTACACTAAAGTCAGTAGCATTCCTCTGGATTTTCACTGGGGCAGTGACATAGCCCCAGTGGATTCTGGCCCAAGCACACATCCCATGCGAGTCTTTCTAGCAAAATAAGTAGATTATAAAACTAGTTTGACTCTGCAATTAATTAAGCAGTAACATAGCTGTTTTGGTTGGAAAGGACCTGGGACTAAAGCAGCACATGTGCAGCAACACCCTGCCCAGACCTTGGCCTGGGATCTGGCCGTGTCCTCTTTCACATCAGGCTTCTCTGTGTTGCTTGGCCCAAGAAATTGGTGTGGCATTCTCCAGGTATTTCATAACTCTGCCAAGGCACAGTGTGTGACTGAGCCATTTGGACTTTAGTTTGTTCTGGAGCCGTGTGGTGACACCTGTCTGTGACACTGTTGAGCTGAGGTCTGGTCTGTGTCTTCTGCTGCCCAGGTTTTGGAAAGGCTCTGCTTCAACCTTGAGACTTGGGGGCTATCTCTTGCCAAAGGAGTGGGGCAGAGTCTGCACTGGGGCTTTGCTGCAAGGATGCAGAGCTGTCATTTAATTCAGTAGAAGACTCAATCCTAGAGACCAATTTCCCAATGCAGCCATTAGCAAGAATTCAGCTAAATGCCATAAAATCAAACATACAGCACAACACATGCCCTAAGTGGGATTTTAAAGTAGCTCACTAATTTTAGTTAACTGCATCAGAAACCAGCTGCTGAACTCCACTGTCACTCACTGCCCCACCACATTTTCCCCCCAGTCCAACTTGGATAGATGGTCAGGATTTAACAGTAATGCTGGTGGAAGACATCCTCTCCTAAACCCTACCCTCAGTCTTAGTCCTGGTTCTAGTTCTGGCCACTGGATAGATATCCTGATACTGCTAGTTTGTAAGTATATTACAACTGAATTTATTAGTAGCAACCTGTAACTGACTTGAGCAGGAGAATTTGATGCACAACTGAGTGTGGAGAAATTTGTGTTACAGAGCTTATCTCTGAGCAGTGACCATTGTCTTAATCTTGTACTAAAAGTCGATGGTTGCCTGAAAATTAGGCTTTGACCTCTTTGATGCTCGAAGTGTTATTTCCTGGTGTGAAAGGAACATTTAAACTCACAGAAGTCTTGTCTTTTCTTATTCCCTTCCTTTCAATTAAAGCAGATTAGATAATTTGCAGTTGTGTATGTGAGTGGAGTTTGCTGTTGTTTGGAGCACTGGGCTTAAATTTAAAGGGCTTTGTTTGCTGCATACTCAGACAGGAGCTCAGTTTTGTGAGGGGAGATGCATCATGTCTGCAAACCACAAGTTCCTATTTACTCTTAAGGCATAACAGTACCTGAACGTCCTAATCTGCTATTCCAAAGTGTCAGGAATACCATCAAGTTGTAAGGTTGTGGGGTTTGTTGTTTGGTGGATTGTTGGGGGGCTTTTTCCCATTTGCTTTTTTGGTAGCTGACTACAGCAAGTAAGTTTGGTAGTGAGGTCTTTCTGCTTGGACCGTGAAATCAGAAGAGCGTGCTGATTCCTGCCAGAGCATGTGGCAAGTGTTGGCTGAGTCGCTCTGGGGCTGTGTCTTTGCAGCATCATCAGGGGTTTTGGCCAGGCCTGCTGCAAATCAGCAGAAGCAAAGTGCAGAAAATGCTAAGGGTATGTATACCAACATGGCAAACTGCTATGAATTTTACCACAAAGATGCTGATATCGTTTTTCCAGCAGGACTGGTTGAAGCTGTGAGTAGAGCTGAATCTTCGAAGGCAAAACTGAGCTGTTCAGGTTTTTTTAACTTGCTGGCCAGTAAAAACAGTATCTTTGCTTTTTTTGGCAATAATCTAGTGCAGAACACTATTAATTCACTAAGCAAAGAAAATAGGACATGCTGAGTCCAAGTGGTTTGTTTAAATCGTGGTCCAGGGTCCTCTGACAATGGTTCTCATTGGCTTTGCACGTGGTCATTTGAATGCAGACATAAAATCATACATGTGAATAGCCTTACTTCAGGCTCAAAAAAAAAAAAGCTTTAAAACCCTTGCTGTAGAAATTGACTTATTCAGATATATTACCATCTTTCTTAGAATTAGTTTTTTAGATGTTGCCTCTTCTACCTTTGGTATCTTAGAGGTTTTTTCACACTTGTTCACCTTCTTTTTGTCTTCCTATTTTACTGATGTAGCTGCTAGATCTTTGCAATAAATCTTGAAAAATAATTTTCATTTTATCTCAGGAACCAGTGCTTAAGAGCTTGTCTATGAGTAGCTACGTATTTTAAGATCCCTGCTTGCACATTTTTTACCCCATTTGAAATGGACTGTTTGTTTACTACTGCAATCCTTTTGGAGGCTGATATTTGGTGATATGCTGCATCATGCTAGTGGAAGTGTTTTCCCTTACTTGGAATGTGCATTCAAGATACTTTTATTTGCCTTTGGAAAATAAAAAGGCATTATACAGCTTCCCATGCATTCCCCAAAGTCCTGAGTCCAAAGACTGACTTCATTGTCTAAGCTGATCTTTGCCCATGAAGGAGCTACAGTCTTATTATTATTTCATTGCCATTATCCTTATTCTTCTAAATTAATTTAAACTGAGGCACGAGTGATGACAAAATTGCATTTCATCAAAAGGGGCAGCAGCTTGTCGGTGTTGATGGCTCAGCAGCTGACCTAGCTTTGTTTTGGTGCCCATGGCAACACTAGAGGAAGGAAATTACAGTCTTCTTAGCATATTTACTCAGTTAGTTCACTTGCACTTCTAACCCAGATCCTAAGGCTGATAACTCAGTGGCATTTTCCCATCAAGATCTTTTCCTCACAACAGTGGGAAAGACTAAAATAACGTCTGCCTCTCCCTTCTGCTTAATATCTCTTGAGAAAAGTGGTCACAGCAAGAGAGAACAAATTACTTGGTGGCTAAGGTAATTTTAATGCTTATGATACTGACCAGAGACCAGCATAGCTTCAAGTCACCTGTGCCCTCTGGTGATCTTGGGCCACGCAGGGCCCAAGGGGCTGAATTGCCTCTTGGTAAAATAAACAGTAAAACTCTTATCTTCTGACTGTCAAGTCCTGTCAGACCTGGGGTCTGTTTTGGTTTTTGTTTGTTTGGGTATTTTCATTTTGTTTTGGGTTTTTTTGTAAGACACAGATGCCAGTGGGGGTCCAGGTCTCTGTTTTTGCTGAGTGAGCTAATGTAGAAGAGCTGAGAGACTCCAGCTTCAAGGGTAGTCAATACCCAGACTGTCTCCAAAAAATAAGTCTGGCTCCCTGAAGGCTATATATCCTCTTTGCAATAAGGCACAAGTATTAACATCAGACCTTGAGAATGCCAGTGAAAACTCTTGGTTTGAGATGGACAGTTCAGCTCTTTGTAATCACAAAAAGTAAGGGCTTTCAAACATAAGGATTTTTTTTTAATAGAAATAACTTTCAGACAGAGGTTAGCAGCTGGAGGATCTCTGAGGGTGAATCAGGGTATTTTTAGGATGATAGAAACAGACAGCCACTTCTGTCTTCCCAAAGCTTCTTAAAAGTGTCTGTCCTGTGTTCTTACAGAGTGATGTCATTGTTTCCATCGTGTGTGTTTTATTTCCTTGGATACGAAGCAGGCGGGGGCTATAGAAACTGGGTGTGTGGCTGGCTTGGCCTTTGATAAGGCTGTGCATGTGTGGGCAATGCATGAAGCAATAGGTATATAAAGTAACAATACTGACACTGGGAACTGTGCTGGCATATTGCGACCTGCTGGTTTTGGTTAAAAGGCGTTACTGCATGGGTGTGGAATGTGTCAGGGACGTGGAGGGAGAGGATGTGGGAAGCTAGTCTTGTTGTTTTACCCCCCTACAATAACAAAACCCCAAACCCTTCCTAATTTTAATCAGATTTCAAAGCATTGCAAAAGATCCTTCCATAGCTGAAAAACCCCAAACAATAATAGAGGGAGAGGTGAAAGTAAAGGCATTTCTTAATACTTGTGATCACAGCTGATGAAACATAGCATGGGGTAGAGTTTGTCATGAAGATGTCCTCTCCTGAGCTGTTGCTTGTGTTTGGCACAAGCAGCCTCCCCCCAGACGTGCCAGCTGGTCAGAAGCATGGCCTTTGCTTCCTGGGTGGCTTTGCAAGGGCAAGGATGAAGCTGGGGGTTTGCCTGCTGGTCTCTGCTCTCCTGCACTGCTCACAGGACCAGAGTCCTCTCACTTTCTGAGGTTTGGTCAGGGGCCCATTTTCTTAGAGCTGAGTAAACATTTGTACTGAGAAATGTTTCATCTCGTTTCCTTTTGGCGTGGCTCTCGAGGTGTGCAATCCAGCATTGCCTGCCCTGAGCTTCTAGGCTCTGACTTGGGATGCAAAAACATCCCACGTTTCTGAGGCCCTGTGAGGCAGCAAGGTTTGCTGGTTCACTTGGCTGCTTCAGACTCATGTGGGGACTTTTGTTTTTCCCTGCAACTGCAGTGTCTGGCTGCTGATTTTTTATTTTTTTTTTTTAGTATGTGACATGAGGTAAGAGTGAATACCCTGATTCCAAGAGCTGGCCAGTCTGTAAATCGCTACTGCACACCTGAAAGTAGTTTTTGGCTTCAGGCAGCCCCTTGCTCCATGTTTGACCTCTCTTTCCTCCAGAGACTGCAGAGGTAGCCTGGGAAGGGGCAGGGGCAGGCAAGGCAGTGACAGTGCTGTAGATGGGTGGCAGCAGGGCATTCGCCAGCATCTGTGAGAGCCTAGCCCAGCTGAATGCCTTCAGGCCATGCTGTGGGGAGAGGAAAACCCCACTTAAGGGAGAGGCTGCTTGACCCTGCACATCGTGGTTTAGTTTATTCAGTGAGTACAAAAAGCCTCCAGACTTTTCCTGTTTCTGGTGGTGGTGACGTCCATACATGCACAGGATGGCCTTGGCCATGTCACTGCAGGGTGGAAGGGACCCCAGAGCCCATCCTCACCTCAGTCTGCTCCCAACCTGCTCGAGGGCACGAGGTGTCCAGATGGCTTTATGCCACTGGTGCGTGGGATGAGTCCCAGCCCAGCTGATAGAGGTGGCTCGACCTGGGCTGGCTGGCTGTCTGTCTGCTTCACTGACAGCTGGGAATTTCCCTGAAGCCACATGCCCCCATTCTCAATGGTGGGGATGGGTCCAGTGGTGGAAGTGTTGGTGAGGAGGAAGCAGACGCCCATGCCACAAGCCACTGGCTGGCCCCAGGCGCAGCAGTGACAGCTGATGTAGCTGTGGGGATTTCACAGCCTGGACGTCAGCGTCGCTGAGGATGGCCTCATATGAGAGGGAGGAAGGGGCCATTGTTTTCCCTGATAATTCTCCATGACACAGCCTGCAGCTGGTGCAGTAGGAAATGCTGATCTGCTTCCTGCCCTGGCACAGGGATGTTTTCCCCATCTTCACAGCCTGGCACCTTTGCTGGCAGCTCTCTGCTGGCGGGCTGTGGTGGTGGGACCCCCTTAGCACCCAGCTAGAATGGCTGTGTTGCAGTGCCTGCAGTGCACAGCTGTGTCCCATCTGCCCCAGAGAGGGCTACTGCCACGAACAGCCAGCACCCAGAAAACTCTTCTGGCAGAAGATGTGCATGTCTGACCTGAAGCTACAAATGTTGTTTGTCCTTGGAATTGAAAAATATCTTTTTTTCTGTGAGATGGGGACATTTGCAGTGGGAGAATGTGGGGTTGTGCTCCAAAGCCATTTTGAGCTTGTTCTTATGGGGGGTAGTTTTAGATAGGGAGGAGGCTGTTGAAGGAATCGCTTCTATTTCAAAGTGAAGTGAGAGTTCAGAAGCAGCTGGAAGAGAAGTCTGTGCAGTTGCTAATCTAGTTTAGCTTGATCTAGTCTGCTGGGTCGTCTGGAAACATAAGCCCTGCAAAGGAAGGAGGGGAGCAAGGCTGATGCAGATAAAGTTATTTAACTATCATGGTATCAGTTTATAGTGGTGAAATAATGCTCTTGAATATCCTACCTGGTAGCTTCCATACCCCAGCTCCAGACCAAAATAACCACTGCTGGTATCCCTGCTCGTTGCTGACAGGGCTGGTGTAGGAGGACTGAGGTAGTGCCACAGCTTGCAGGGTGAGTGAGACAAATGCTTCCAGTTCTGCCTGCAGGTGCCAACAGAAGGTGTCTCTGAAGGGATCTAACATTAATCACACTCCTCTGTACTGCTCTCAAAGAAAGAACAGGTCATGATCTGACTGTATAAGATCATGTCGTTTTAGCTGACTGCCAGTTCTTCCTCTGCAAACATACCATTGCTTACTGCTCTTGCAGCCTGTGCTCCAGCCAGGGATGCTGTTTAATGCTATTTGCACCCTTTTCCTTGTGTTGGTCCTGGGATTGCCACAGCCTTAGTGATGCTGCAAACCCTCAGTATCTCAAATGCATAGACTAGGTACTGTCCCCACACATATGCACAGTGTAGCTGGGTTTTTGCACTAATGTTTTCCACTTGCCTGCTGGTGGACTGGTTTTTGGGAGTGTCACTTATCTGATTTATTTTTTTCCACTATTGTGAGAGACTGTCACATAAACATGGTTCCAGGAGCTGGTGTTTTAACAAAACTGCTGCACAGCACAGGCCCTAGGTTGGCAGTTCTGGAAAATCCCTAGATAAACGTATTTGACAGTGAGAACACATTATCTTTTGATCTTGGGATCATGAAGGCACTTGTTCTTTGCAAATTCCTTCCACAGCTTGAGCAGAAAGAACAGCATGGTGTAACAGGAAGTGCTGGAGAATTTGGTTTATCCAAGTGCCCTTTAAAATGCTGCTGCTATTGTAATACTTGTCTGTATACTCTTGGGTTATTCACGTTCTGTGCTGTTCTCCACATGAGATTTTTCTAATCTTCAGACACCAGGTTTTGCACCATTTTTTCTGTTTAACTGTTAAACTCTCTTATAGTCAGTGACCTCTACACACATGAGAGGTCCTGGAGATGTCCCAACACCAACACTTGGTGTTACTACACAGCAGAAAACCTACCTGGTGTCCAAGAGTAGGACAAAAATTCTTATGTGGATTCTGTGCTGAAGTGTATGTTGCAGTTCTTAGAGTCAAGGCACTAATGTGATGTCAGTCTCTCTTCTCCATGTAGCTGCCTTGTTTTCTCAACACTTGCTGGAAGGTAAGGATCCTTGAGGCTTCCATCACTGTCAAACTCAATTTGGCTTGGCTGACACATTCAAAGATTCAACATGCCTATGTGCATGTTGGGTATGTAATTGAGCCACCTTGCTTTATTAGGAAACCAGAGTTTAAAAAAAAGCCCAAATCAAACTGTAAATTACTTCCTTTTCCTTAATTCTTGATTAATGCTTAAATGTTTCCTCAACACATCTTGTGACATGTTTTTAATGTGGAACCTATTTGACCTCAGAATATAACCCCCTTAGCCTAAACCTTCTGCCTCAGTCTTTCATGAAACCAACTATTTATGTGCACATCTGTAACTCCCTCCCACTCATGGCTTCTGAATGGTGGGCCACCATGTGTATTTAGTGCTGATATAACTGTTCCCCATGGTTTGATATATGGGCTTAAGTAATTATTTTTTTGCTAAAATCCACATTTTTGCCATGGGAAGGACTATTTTCACAAGTCCTGTTATGTGGTTTAAATGAGATTGCAACAAAGGGAGATTAGCTAATTGCTCCAGGGTCATTTTCCCTTTGGTGTGTGGGAAAGTTTCATGGCTAACATCCATACATATTGGCCAGAAAGCTGTGGGAGAGCAGCCTTGTCACTCCACACCTGAACATCTTGAGCTACCCTGCTGATTTCAAATGACTTGTAACTCATGAGGGCATTTGGATCCAAGCCGCTCTTCTCTGAGGGATTCTATACTCTGCTTGATGCCATAAATAGCATTTGAATGCCATGAAGTGAGATGACTCCCATCTGTCAGTCTGGGAAGGCTAGTCAGCTGCCTAAGGAAGTCTGGAGACAAAAAAGTGATTTAAGGAAAAATCTGTAGGGGGATTTAAGTCATACCTTTTTCTAATGAGTGTTTATCTTGTAACTATATCTCTGTCAAACATTGTGAGATGTTCATAGGGCAGTAAAAGCTGACGTCATTGCTGTAAAAGTCAGTGCCTGTTTAGAGTGGGAGTGGGAACTAGTTGTGTTAGAGCTGGGACCCATGGGCCCAGCATGCTGAGAAGTGCCCCCTTTCATCCTGTGCCATTGGCTGTTAGCCCTGTATTGAAGCCATGCTCAATCTCTATGGCTGGCTGAAACATTTCAAAAATCATGTTTTGGTGCCATCTCTTAGCCCTCGATATCTCAGCTCTTAGTCCTTTCTTATGCCTGCTCTAGTGAGGCCAGATTATACTTTCTTCTTCCTTTGGTCAAGCATCTTCACTGGGGAGAAATAAACCCTGGATGTTGTTATCTCTGCCGCAAGGCTGCTAATTCCCAGCCTGCTGAACTGGTGATAGGGCTTAGAAATGTCCTCATTTTTGCTAGCACTGCCTGTGATTAAGAAGAGTCTTACCTCAAGTCTTATTTAACTTGGATTTGCCCTTTTTCTTACTAGACTGTAGCCTGTTTCTAAGTGTACACTACTACTGCTGGAAGCCTCCAGTTTGCAGCAAACCCAGAATATCTGGGTGATATTTTGTACTTCTGATGCTGAAGAAGTTGCTGAAAGTTAGCTGTCACTACCTGTGGACAATCTTTTGTATTAACAATGGTCACCTTCACACCTTTATTTTGGATTTTCTTGCCCAGAAATTCCAGAGTTGTTCCTCAATGACAGCTGTGAACCCTGGTCTTAGCTGAAGGACCAGAGACGCTCCAGAGCACTTGTAGTAATGACAAATCCTTTCTTTTTTGGGCTGTCTTATGTAAAGGAAGCCGAACATTCATATGTTATTGAGAAGTGCTCTTCTTTCTGCCCCTCATCTTCATTTTTCCATAGAAATCAACCCTGCTCTCAGGAATTGCAAGGGATGCTTAAAATCTGTAGTCTTGCATGAGAAAATCAGTCCTATAGCTTACTGTAGGCTTGCAGGAGCTCCCAGGTGTGTCCACCTTGAGCTAATAGCTCTGGCAGTATTTATGAGCTCTTATGTTACCAGTATGTCAACACTGAAATGTCCTGAAGGTCATCTAAGCTGTCCAGGATGGGCCCTCGTGCCATGTGGAGGATGCTCACTTGCTTTGGTGGTTGTGGTCACCTGCTCCTCAGCTGAGACCACACATGAAGGCCACCACTGCAGTGGCTGCGGGGCTGCCCTGTCACATCCACCTGCATGCCTGAGCACCTCTGATTGTTGCCTCTGCTCCTTTGCATGCAGGAAATAAAGCACATAGGAAGTGCACACAATCGGAGTGCAGTGCCCTTCACTGCTGCCACAGCTTCTGCCCCCAGGGTGATCACTGCTCAGTACAACAGCCCAGCAGGCCTCTACTCCTCAGAGAACATCCAGACCTTCAACAGTGCGGTGGAGACAAAAACGTCACCTGGGGCTCTGGAGCCTACCAAGCCGTAAGTACCTCCCTCACCTCCCCTCCCTCCCTGGGCCTCCAGGGAAAGGCTTCAGGAGACACGAGTTCACTGCAAAGGTACCAGTCTGTTAAACCAAGAAAAGCTCTCTTTCAGGACAATGGAAATAGAAGAGGCACAAGCGTGGATGTTGTTCCCAGGGACAGGGCTCGGAGGAGTGGGGAGTGTTTCATGAGGTGCAGATATGAAATTAATGCTGTTGTGTTTCTTTGTTCAGCAGAGACCGACGCAGTTTCCGTGTGCGTTCAGCATGACATACCAGCCCGCTGCTCTGAGCAGGTGCCTGATAGCTTGTTACAAGCACTTCCTAAAGTTAGTGTTTCGTGCCGGCTTCGCTGCGATGCTGAGCAGGAAGGGCACCAGCTAGTGCAGGAAGCATGCCCATCCCTGTTCCCAGCTGGCCTGGGATTCATCAACAGGCTTTGCCTTAGTTTGGGTATTTCTGTGTTTTATTATCAAACGTTGCTTTTCACAGGAATTTTAAAAAGTAGCAGAAACATTCATTCTTGTGTGAGGGGTTTTATGTATGAAATTGGAAAGGGTCCCAACCTTAAAATGGCCTGTTCATTTTTATGTTTGCAACTGAACCTCACCAAAGACATGATTTTATCCTAGATTTTCAAAATTCCCCTTTTCTTCACTGGAGGTGAAGGAGCTCCAGGAGCTTAACCAGGAGCTTCCTCCTTTACCAGGAGCTATCTGAAAATTTTCTGGTTGTGATGGTCAGGTTGCTTGACTGCCCTAAGTCTCTGCATAGCAATATCAAACTGCCTAGAAGGCTGTGTCTATTTTTATAATAAAAGCTGGAAAACCAGTGCTTTTTGGTAATACTTGATTAAATTTCTGACTTGGGAAAAAAACCAGAAAAAGTCAGGCAAAAATAACTTCAGCCTCTGCTGTTGTAGGATACAAAGACTTGATTGTGGTTTAACACCAGCCTGACAACTTTCCTGTGAGTGAAACCAGCTCCTTGCATTGGCAGCCCAGTCTGCAGCACGGTCCCTTCTAGGCAGTTGCAGTGCTGCCACTGGCAGATGAGGTGACAGATTGTTCTTCATTTGCTTCCGGTAGACTCAGCAGCCTCATTCAGGGGCTGGGCAAAAGCAGAGCAAGGACAAGGAAAATCTGACATTGCATTAACTTGGTGAGACCATCTGGCAGTAGATACCATCCCTAGTCTACTCTGGTGTCCCCTCCATGTGAGAGCGCTCCCTGGAAGCCAGGCAGATTTGGCTGGAGCAGCTGTAGCTGATCCCTTTCTCTTGCAGGGATCAGCAAAGAGGTGGATTCCTTCTAGGGCTGTGGCTCACTCTGCTCCTCCTAGCAGGAACATCCATTGCTAGCCCTGCTCCATCTTGGATACATGGCATCTCTTTCATCCTTTCCTTGCTGAAACACAGCGAGTTGCAAAGGAATGCTGGGAAAACTGTTCATGAGGCTTTGATGCTCATATGCTTTTGTTTACAGAGTCATCAAAAGCAAATGAATTACTGCTAGTTTTCAGTGAGAGCCAGGGACTTCAGCCTGCTGTTAAAAACCCACTGTAGTCTCCCCAGTGCACAAGCACTGGATGTCTAGGCTCTCCCTTCACACACCCTTCCAACTGCCTTTAAATTCCTGCCCATCTGTTCTGATGAGTTATTTGGTACATACCTGACCTTGTTCTGGGTTTGTCTGACCTTTATCTGCCTCCTCATCCTGCACCCTGCAGATACACAGCCTGTCTGAATCCAGCACTTGATCCTGCCACTGCACATGGAGATGGAGACCTAATCCATGCTTCATCCTTAGAGGGTGTGTGGTATAAATGCAGGGCTTTAGTACATAGAGAAATAAAAGAAAATATCTCCACTGTATTTGATGTCACAAAGCAGGTGGGGATGGAGAAGCCCCACTGCTGAGCACATCTGGTTTGGGATGGGAGGTGAGATTACTCCTCAGTAGGATGCCAAGGCTAGCTTTGAGGAGAGCAGCAGTGAAGGTGGCATTCCTTGTCTGGACAGTGGGACCACAAGTCTGTGCACAGGGAGTTACTGTATAATGAAACCCCTGCTGCCACTTCTTCATTGCTTTTGCAACCCATGCATTTGCTTATCAGTGGAGTGCTTGCTTTTTAGTTTTTGTGTGGACACACCTGGAGTGTGAGACCAGAGGCACAGCATTAGCCAGAAGCCTGTAAAGTTGTGTATTCAGAGCTGTGTCCTTAAGATAATATTCTACAGCTGCTTGATGGCTTGAAGTATTTGGCTTTGCCCTTCATTAATTTCTTTCTTCTTTCCTTTCTTCCTCCTCTGCATTTTCCCCTCAATTTGGCAATGTAAACCCCAAACAAACCTTGAACAACCCCACCTCCCACTGCCCGTGTGGACGCGTGGGCTGGCAGCCGCCCATCGCCGGTGGGCGCGATGCAGGCTCCCATCGCCTCCGTGTACGACCCTCTGCAGAGCTCCGAGCTGCGGCGCAGGCACAGCACCTCCTCCAGCCCCAGCCAGGTCCGAGTGGGGCCTGAGCAGCTGAAGCACGCAGCCCAGGTCTGCCCCAACAGCCCTGTGGAAGTGGAGGTGCCGGGACTCAAAGTGCTGCACGTGCAGTTCAATTCTCCCCTGCAGCTCTATTCGCAAAGCAACATCATGGACACCCTGCAGGGGCAGATCTCTTCTGTTAGCCCTGATTTCCCCAGGTAACCCGCCCACGGCCTCTGCAGCCAGCTCAGTACATCTGCTCATCTGCATTTTGGTGTCCACGAGTCCGTCGTTCCTGTCTGTGGCTCATGGCATTGTCCGGTCACAAGAAAACAGCATTTACATTTCACCCTTCCAATGTCAGCGCATGACTATTCACAGGAGCTTTCTCTGCCTTGTGTCTGTGCCCAGCACCATGGGAAACACCAAAACATGTTTTTAGTGTGTCAGTATGTCTATTGCCCCTGCCCACCCACACAGCAGGACTTCACAGCACCTGGTGGCTTTTCTGAAGGAGTCACCTGCAGCAGATGAGTTTGCTGAGGGTAGGAGAGTGCTTTATCCTGGAAACTGGTATTTTTCCTGCACTTAAAATAACTTTTGTTGTTTGCGACTGACAGGTGCTGCCAGTCTGTTCTTCTGTTTCATTGGCCATGGGTGTGTGCTGAGCATGTTTCATTTCAGGCTGAAGCAGGTCCCCACGCTCTCCATGTTTGGCTGAAAATAGTCTAGAGTTTGGAGCAGCCTGGCAGGCACCAGACCCGTGGAGGGACAGCCTGTGTTCTCACCCCTGCCCGCTTGTCTGCAGAGGTTGCTGCAGCACAGGCTACCTCTGCCCAAAGGAGTGGAGGATGCTCAGCATGCTCTGAGGTCTGCAGGACCTGTGGTGAGCCTCAGCATCACAAGGTCTGGGTGCTGTTTGATGTCATCTTTGTGGTACTTGGGAACCCACTGGCCTGTGCCTCTAAGTGACAGCCCCTGAGTTTTACAGGGAGGACTTCAGTGTCAGGACAGGTGAAATAGAAAGCACGTTTATCTGTCTCACAGGAGCAGTCCAGGGAAGGATGAATTGTGAACCTTCTGCTATGTCACCAAGCAGCTTGCATCTGTGTGATATGTGGCCCAGGACAGTGATCCATCCCAGGGCTTCATGGGGCAGAAAAAGGACACAGATCTCATGGCTCCTGGACTGCTCACAGTTCCCTTCTGAAACCATGTACTTCAAAGCAGAAAAGCTGGTGTCCTCAGCCCTGGACCCACACAGCCAAGCTTTGCCATGTGCCAGGAGCCAAAAGATAGTGGGAGGCTGAGGATTTACTCCTGCCTTGTTACTCAGTGCAGTTATTTGCTGTAAGTCAGTCCTCTGGCTTGTAGTCAGTACCATGCACACCAGAAGTGGTCACACTGCCAGCTCTCTGTGCTGGCCTGGAGAGCTGATAGTGCTCACAAAGGAGCCCCAGACATTAGCAATTGTTTACTGGCAAAAGGGAGTGCTCCAGGCACTGGGCTTTCCTGCAGCCTTGAGACCCTTGTAAGCTTTGCTAAATAGGCTGGCATAAAATAGTTAAATATCATTAGTAAAAAATAAATTGCTTTGTGAAGATTCTGTGCAAGGCTGTGTCTTTATGGTTTTTATACTATCTTGGCAATATTTAAGGCTCAGTGATCAAGTATTAGTCAAGTGTTGCAAGTTTCCCGTGGTAGCAGCAATGAGATCCAGTAACGGTTGTGTAAGTCCATGTCCCAGTAAATGTGGTTGGGGTTGTTCCCTACAAAGTTTCTGCATGAGGGAAGTTGTGTGCATGGAAAAGGACACCAGTTGCTGGTGATTGCTGCAGATAAAGTACCTGTGTAACAGGAGGTGCCAAAAATCAGCTGGCATGCAGAGACTCAGTATCTTGCAGGTACAATTTCTGTGCCTGTGGCCTTGCCCTTTCAAAAGATACACATGCTTTTTGGAGATGTTGTTTAATTTAACCAGCATAGCCTTCTGCCCTGACAGTTTGAGGTATTTTACTCTGCTGGTGCAAATCTGAGTTTGATGGGTTTTATAGCCTTTTGGACATCTTGTGGACATATAGGGTGCCTACCTGGGAGAGCTGATGTGTATGTTACACACTGCCACAATGCATGGTTGAAATGAGATGCCTTTGTTTGACTCTAATGCTTTTTAAGATTATTTAGCCTCTGCTTTTTGGATGCATGTTATTGAAACATTCTTAGTACGCAAACTGCAATGAAAGGCTTCTTGCATAATGTTTTTACGGGTGGATAGAGCAGTGGGAGTATATGAGTTTACATGAGATGAATGTAATGTGGAGCATGGGATATCTTCTGTCTAATAGAAGGCACATAATTATTTTTATTTGGGTAAGAAGCTTCAGTAACTGAGATTCAGGCTTCAACTGTTTGCATGTCTAATGTTCTTCCTGCTCCACTGAAAATTGCTAAAGATGGAAACATTTTATGAAATCCTTTTTATGGAAATAGCATTTTATAACTCATGTGATGATTTTACTTCTGATGCTTGAATAATTTATTATGTAGAGTAACTCCCAGATGGGGATTGGTCATTGGCATTGCAAGTATGCAGTTGCCTCCTTGAGAAAAAAATTTCCCTCTGCAATTTAGTCTGAACTTCAGGATGTTTATGTACTTTTCATGCAATCACACAGTGCAAGAATGGTGAAACCAAATAGATATTTACATTTATACTACATTGTAGAATTGAGCTATCAGAGAAGATTTGTCAGCTGTTTCATTTTATTGCATATGTTTTACTGCAGCTACAGAACACAAGGCAGGCAGGAACTTCCTGTGTCCTTTAGTCCACCCCTCAGTCCAGGATTTGGCAATTTAAACCACTGATTTAAATAATTCCCACTATATATTTGTCCAGACTATTTTCAAATCCTTTAGTCTGGAGGTTCCTCACCTGCCTACAACAATCTTCTCTGGTATTTCAGTGTCAATAGACATATTGGGAAGCTTTTCCCAAGGGATAGTCTAAATATCCTGCAGTTTAAGCCTATCCTCTACCCACTGCATGTAGAGTATATCTTAGGTACTTCCTCCAGGCTCTTTTTTTTATCCTCAAAGACCCTTTGAGTGACACAATAATCTCCTTTTCCATGACCCTGTGCTGTGAAAAGCTGCCCCTGAAGCAACTTGGGCTCTAAGTCAATGATGCAAGTCCCTCAAGACATGAGGGGTGGGAGCAGCACTTCAGGGCAGCTGCACTGAGGGCTTAGCCTTAGCTGCAGAAATCTCTGCCCTCCACCTGCTCATTAACCTTAGTAAAATACTGTAAGTGGGCTTCACCTAGAAAATGGAAATAGTAGCACTCACTTGAAAACCAGACTAAATTACTTCCAATCAGAGAACCTTCTAGTTAGATCCTACAGCTGTTACATTGTGAGGGTGACATTTACAAACAATTCATAGGGTACTTGCAAAGATTTTTTTTTTTTTTGTAGTGGAATAAACTTTATTCAGTGTGAGATTCACAGTTGTGTAAGGTAGTTTATGCATGCAAGGAACGTGTGTGGATGGCACAGCTATTATGTGGGATTCCCATCCCAGCACATGAATTCTTTACTTTCTTATTGGCAGAGCTGTGGTTTCCTGGGCAGGTTTTAGTTGCTGGAGTGTGTGGTAATTGTGAAGCAGGGCAAACCCTGGCTGGGGGCAGTGGGTGAGCAGCTGCTGAGAGCAGCGTGGGCAGACAGCCCAGTGCCAGTCCCACCCGGAGCTCATCCAGCACCTCCATGTTCGTGGCCTCCTGCCGTGCGTGTGCTTTGCACGTTCATTCTTCGGTCATATGATGCAGCATGAAAGTTTTGCAAGAGGAATTTGCTTTACTTTTCATCCATTTAACAAGATGGTTCTCTGTTCCTTCCTCAGTTTAGATCAGCATAACCAGACCCCAGGCAGCATTGCCATAGACAGACAATCTGAGGTTTACAAGATGCTGCAGGAGAATCAAGAGTCAAATGAGCCACCCAGACAGTCGGCTTCGTTTCTTGTGTTGCAAGAGATCTTGGAGTCGGAGGAGAAAGGTGAGTGAGTACCTGATCTGAATGTGCTCTTCCCCTCTGGGTTTAGTAACATTTAAAACTTTATTTTCCATTTAGCTGTTGATTGTTCAAGGTGGCATGTGTAGGTGGCTTCTATTGAAACCTACAGACCCTGTCACTAATTTGATCCCTTCATATTCTCTCATTGATTAGTTTCAGTGTCTATGGGCCCATATTATTGCTTAATCACTGAGTGAGCACTCCAGAAATAAACCCTTGCAACATTTAGTTATCAAGAAGGAATTTTTAAAGTTACAAAACCTCATATAGTTTCTAAAGTTTTGCCCCCTTTAAGATAGTATTCACTGATTAAAGACCATCTTAGAGTCAACACTTTGGATGGTATCACAAGATAGTGGTCTTCAGTGAGTCCTATTGCTTCTGAACTCCATCCCCCTACTCAAGTCCCCTTCTGCAGCTGAGTATAAAAATATAGAAGCTGGATTACAGTGAGCAGTTCATAGCTTTTAACCTCTGAAAATTTGCTCATCTTGGCATTCTTGATCTTAGGTCGGGCTTGTACAATTCAGAGCTATAGAGTTTAAGATAAAAAAAGCCAATTAACTTACTTGGGGGCTAAATTGTGCTCTCTTCTCCCCTTTAAAAAAATAAATAAATGAATGGGAAAAGAATTCCAAGAATGACTTTTTTTCTCCTTAGGCCAGTCTTTCGTGTTACTAGCTTGGCAGTGGTATGTTCAGTTTAATCCAAAAAAAGCCTTATGCTGATATATTCACCACAAAGAGAAATAGATCAGCCAAGTGCGAGTGGGTCTGAGGGATCTGTAGTGAAACAGCAAAAGAAAGGAAATAAGGAAGCAATAGGAAAAAAGAAACCAGGATCATGGAGTCTCTAATATGCTGTTAAAATACCTACCCGAAAGAATCTTTTAAATATTGAGTGTTTGCAGCTTGCCCTCAGGGTTCAGCTCCTGCATGGAAGGAGTAGCTGGGACTTCTCCCGAAGCCAAGGTCCTCCCCTGTGCTTAGTAGTGCTGAAGAAGATAAGAAGCAAAAGCCTCTGTTTTATCTTTCTTTGAAGATTTGCAGCATTGTTGGGATTCTCTGGCACAAGGTTTGCCTTGCCCGATCCCGGGCCGGGATAGGCTCTGGCATTATTCCACAGTGAGCTGATAATACCCCCTGGCCCAGCCTGCCGGCCAGCAGCAAACAAGCACACACTGCTGGAGTCAGATCGTTCCTGTGATAAATGGCACAGTGGACGGCCCTCTCCCAGCCCGGCTGCAGGCAATGGCTCCTGGAGGCAGCTGTGAGCCTGCCCCGGCTGGGACAAGGCCCCTGGGCATCGCTGACTCTGGGCTGCGCTTCCACCAGCTGAGAGCCGGGCACAGGGCTGAGTGTGGCTGTTTGGAAGCACCACGGGCTGGGCTTTTAAGACCTGACCCTATGCTCAAAAGTGGAGAGTTTCACTGGGTAGAATACACTGGGTAGAATACGCTGCGTTTCCTGTGGGTGTCTGATTAGGAGAGATTTAAAAACATGTTGTCCATGTTGCTGATAAGAGCAAAGTGCTGGTTGAGGCAAAGGGAGTGAACAGAAGTAATAGGGAGGAGTCTGAAAATGGGATTGCTGCTGCTTGCTTCCCAGTGAGGGTCACTTGCAGAGCACCTCTTTGAGGGCCGGTGGCTCTTGCAGTGTTTGGAGGTTTGGGGAACTTGCACCTCTGGACCAGCATCTGTACAGAGCTGGGTGCAAACCTCTCTGCTGAAGGCTGCCCTAAAGACAAACCAGTGCAGCATCACCTGCCCCACAGCTGAGGTAGGCAGTTCTCCCCTTTTTCCTTCAGCTCTTCTGTCAGTGATGCTGCCCTGGGCTTTGGTGAATACCTGACATGGCTGGTTCACCAGGGGCTGTCTTTGGAGGGTTTTTCTGCCCCTTGCACTGAGAATGCCCATTGGAAGTGTGCTCTTGGTTTGACACTGGTCAGAAGGGTTTCATCAGTGTCTTTCACAGTCCAAGGTGTTTCTGGTTAAATATCATGGAAGCCTCCTTCCTCAGCAGCCTCCTTCCCTTGTTAACTGGTGTCCAACCCCTTAGAACACTCATATAGATGAGATTAGTCCTATCATTGGTGTCATTTTATAAAAGTCCTTTTTTCCTGCAGATATTTAAAGGCTTACCTCGTATCCCACATCTAGGATCCACTGCTGATTTAGGCATCCAGGTCAGCACAATGTCTCCTGCAAAGGCCCTGCAGGAATTCCCTGCCCCAGAGAAGTTGCAATAGGGAGATACCTGGAGCATGCTATGCAACAGGAGGGGAGTGCAAGTTTATCCCCAGTGGCCCAGGGCTCTGCAAGGAGTTTGTTAACTAAATCTTCCAGCAGTCTTGGGGGAACCACCTCTGCTCTAAAACAAACAGCAGATTGGAAAAGGGCTTTGACAGTCCTCGCAACAGAACACCCACCTCTTTCTGAGCTCAGATCTGGGAATCAGCCTGACCCTGAATGTGTGATCAGGACGCATCAGGCAGACTCCAGTGCTGCCGAGGCTCGGACTTTGCTTTGCTTTGTGCATCTGCATGTGAGACACATCAGCTGAAGTCTGATGGGCTTTTAAGATGAGAAGATAATCTCATCTGACTGCCCACCATCCCAAGCCCTCACATTTCCAGGGCGAGGTTCAGCTGTGTGCCTCCTCTCCTTTCTCCCCACACATCACTAAATCCCTGCCCACTTTCCATGCATGAATCCCTGCCTTAGAGCTGGGGTTAAAGAATGTCATGCCCGCAGTGGAGCATCTGCTTGGGAGGAACAGCCTCAAGCCATGCATCTCACATGCTCTGAAGCACTCTCCTTCCACCCCCAGGAGACCCTACCAAACCGTCTGGATTTAGGAGCGTCAAAGCCCCTACCACAAAGGTGGCCTCATCGATTGGGAATGCCCAGAAGCTGCCCATGTGTGACAAGTGTGGATCTGGCATTGTGTAAGTAAGCCTGTCCCTGGGGTTGCAGGTGAGCAGCCCATGCTGTGCCAGGGGCTGAGGTAGTGCACCCAAAGAGCTTCACTTACCCACATCCGGTGCCTCCAGGAGACTCAAAGACGTTTATTCTCACCAGCTTTAATAATGCTAACTTTGCAGATCCCTGCTGTGAGGCAGGAGTTGGGTTCCATCTGCAGATCCGTATCAGTGGAAACCAGAGCAAGTCCCTGTGTCTCAAGCCTTGAGGCAGTTGTTGCTGCAGTGTTTGGCTGACCTGAAAGTTGTTTACAGCATTTGGAAACAAAATGACCTTTCCATTCAGGGCCTGTGTATTTAATGAATTTCCTGTCTCCGTGCTCCCAGGCGTGGCATGGAGAATTGCCTTGGTCAGAGGCAGTGGGGACTGCAGAGTTGCATTCTGCTCCCCACTCTCCTGCAGGACCTCACACCTCCACTGTGTCTATGAAGTCATACTGTTTTTTGTATTTATGTGGGTAAAATCCAATTCCAACTGACCTGGGGTTTGGTACATAGCTGCTATATCGTGTGACCACGTGGGGGACCCAGCACTGAAAACCCATGTCTTTGAGTTGATCAGTTTTTCAACCTCAAATTCTTCCCTGCAGCCCCCTTAACAGCTGAGTCCACAGCAGTCACGTACTGGTAGTCCAACATGCGCTGTCATGGAAGAATTCTGATTTTTCAGATCCTGCGTGCCACAGGCTATCAGATTGTTGCTGAGACCCGCTACACTGTGATTGCATGGTCCTGACATGCCTGGAGCATCTGGACCAGCAGATTCATTAGAGAGGCAATCCATACCTTGTAAAATATGAATCGGAGACAAATCCCATAATTATTCAACCAGCTGGGTAGGTCTGGAGGGAAAGCACAAGGCCTTGAATAGCACTCAAAACTAATGAATTACAGAAAATAGAGATGGCTGCTGGAACAAAATAATATTGGAACATTTTTGTGGGGCTGATGGTAGTTAACAAACTGCTATGCAGTTTTTGTCGTTTTCCTAGTCATCTGTTGGTCTGAGCTGTGAAGTCTTCCAGTAAGAGCTAGCCCACATTTGGCTGGACCTGTTCCCTGCAGCTCCCAAGCAGCATGTCTGAGATGAAAACCAGGATCTACTCTCTGTGCTTCTCCCACACATCAGTTACTAGCAAAAGGGCAGTGCTGGCTGTGCAGCCTTCATCCCTGCATTTCTGCATTTGTTTTGCCATCCGGTTAGCTTGTACCTGGATTTTGCTTCCTCTGATGGTCAAGCTACTGCCTGCCATTTGATCGTGGACATTTGAATGCTGTTGTGCTGTCTGCAGCCACCAGCTAAAGATGCTATCACAGTAATTCTTCCCGCCACAGGTGATAGGACTGTCCCTGTGTAACTTTAGCAGGTTAATGCTGGGAAACACTTTCTAGAGGAGAGTTTCCATGCCAGCACATGTTGGGCTTCTAAAAGTGCTGTTAACATTTGCCTGACCAGAGGTAGGGGCCTGTACTTGGACTTGTCAGGAGAAGATTGTTCACCTTTGGGACTGGTTTGGGTCTGGGCTGGGTGGGAGTGGCTGGGGAGGAGGGAGACACTGGGCACTGAGCAGTGCTGGTTCCTCCCCAGAGGGATGTTCGTGAAGATCCGGGACAAGCAGCGTCACCCCGAGTGCTACGTGTGCAGCGACTGTGGCACCAATCTCAAGCAGAAAGGACACTTCTTTGTGGGAGACCAAATCTACTGCGAGACGCACGCGCGGGAACGGGTGACTCCCCCGGAGGGCTACGAGGTGGTCACTGTCTTCCCAAAGTAAACCATGCTGCTCACAAAGCCAGAAGGATGATTTATTCTCTGCTGATTTTCCTTGGAGAGCATTATCCCTACCCCCTGCAGAATCTTGTTTGCAGTAAGGAATGCTAGGCATGGCTTTGAATTTCCTTGTCATTATTAATCCTCCATCTGTTCACATGAGATGTCACTAATTGTTCAACATTCTTTTCATCCTCTCTTTCACTTTTTTTTAATAAACAGAATTTTTTTTCCTTCATTGTGCTGTCAATCACACAGGAAAATCAGAGGCCAAAGTCAGATTACAACTTTTCTGTGTTCTAGTTATTTGCCATCTGATTGCCTGCAATAAATGGGGTGAATCCACAAGGTAGAAGTGTCTGCTTTCTGCTGTTTTCCTTGTGCACTGGATTGTGGTTCCCTGGGCAGCAGAAGAGGTGCCCAGTGTATGGCTGTGTTTATCCTGGAGAATAGTGGAAGGGATTTACAAAGTTGAGTCAGGCTGGTCTTGCTGCCAGCTGAGCTGTGAGCAGCTGCCTGCTGGCACCCAGCGAGGGGCAGGTGGGCACAGCCAAGCCACAGAGCAGCCTGGTGGCCTGTGCCCAGTGCAAGGCAGCCGAGAGATGCCTCCTCTGTGTCCGGCACTGCTTCGTGATGATGGGACTGGGCACGGCAGTGCTTCTTGCTACTGCATCACCACAGATGCCCCTTTGTTCCCCACAGACACCAACTGAGCTCTATGAGAAAAATGATCACATGATGCTTGCTGGAAACCAGGGAATCTGAGAGTGAAGAGGGAAGTTTGAGTTGCCATAGTCCCTGTTCTGGTTCCCCCTGGGGGGAACCAGATGTGGCTGCCCAAGGCATCAGCCTGCTCCTAGTGCTGCTGCTGTGCACAGCTGCTGGAGGGTGCCTTTGGGGGGTGATGTGGGGAGGGGGGCACATGACCCTTGTGCCCTGGATAGAGGGCTGATGGTGCCTGAGGAGCAGAACCTCCACCCGTGTTGAGCACAGAGAAGGCCTGCAGTGGTTATTTCTCACACCTCTAAGTGAGGTGATGGCTGTTCTTATTCATGTAAAAATAAACGGTTTATAAGATGTCATGTTTCCTTTAAAACAAATTGCCGGTGGTTGAAATCAGCACGTTTGTGGCTGCACAAAGGCCCCTGGATTTAGTGGGTGCATCTGAACAGCTACAGACAGGGTCATGTCCTTGCCCTGGAAAGTCCTGTCTGTGTTCAGCAGTGCTGTACTGCTGTGCCCTGTGTTTCCTCTCCTTCACAATGAATCACACCGCAGCACAGCTGCGTTGTAAAAAAACAACAAACCACAAAAAAACCCCAAACAACAAAAAGATAATAAACCAAAACAGCCATGCTAAAACCACAACCCCAAACCTCATCTGAGGTGAAGCTGACCTGACACCAAGCCTATAAGCCTCCTGGTGTTCAGATAAACAGTGCAGGTTGGGCAGGGGACTAATTCACCAACCCATCTAAATTTAGTTCATCCTCTCATGCTCCTTCTATGGGCAGAGGCAAGCAAGCAAGGCTGCCATGGCTCAACCAGCAAACTCTGTTTGGATCATCCCTGGGAAAAGCCTGGCTTCTCTGGGCCACTGGCACACATCAGTACACACCTGCACAAACTCCAGATAGCAACACAAGCAGTTCTTTTTCAAGGTGAGAGTGGAGGGTTTTTTTTCCTGCTGGGATGACGTCTCCCCTCATTACTGTTGGGGGCGTTAATTCTCACCTCTCCAGAGCACACTTCCATAGGGCAAGGCTCTCTGTGCTGCAGTGTCAGCAGGAAGGACTGCACAATAATCCAGTGCAGTGGTGGGAAGCACAGATCTGCAGGGATGAAGGAGTGACCCTGTAGCACAAACTGCTCTGGCTGTATTGTGGACCAAGTCCTGGCAGTGAGACTGTGGCTGCTCCACAGCCCCTGCTTTCTCAGCAGGCTGGGGGCTCAGGACTCCCCCAGCAAAATGCTGGCTGCTGAGGCCATCTGGAGCTCTGTGTCCTGGCCCCAGAGGCTGGGCTGAGCCCTCCAGTGCCTACAAAGTCACTGCATTATTTTGTACACAAATGCCTGTCAACAAAACAGCACTCATTCCAGAAAACCTCATGATTTTGGGGGCAAGGGCATGAGAGCCTGGCCTGTGCCTGGCATTTCCCTGCCCTCCCACTCATGTGCAGGGCCATGGGCTCTGTCAGCAGCCTCAGCTCCTGCAGCCAGGCTGGCAGCACCCTGGGAACACTTCCTCCTGCAGGGGCCTTGGCGCAGGACTTCGGCACTACAGAAGATTTGTGGAGTAGTCTGGAAATGCAGGTTTCTAATCTGGATACCAGAGTTGATCCAATTTATTACGTTGGAATGGGTTAGGTGAGGAAGTTCACATTTGTTACTTGAGGACTTTGATCACTCTCAGCTGTGGCTAGCTGAGAAAAAGAATTTATCTTTTATGATGTCAGGCAAAATATTTGACAACTGCAGTGTTCATGTAGTCTGACTCTTCAGATTCCTCAGGAGTTAAAAATTTGGCATCTGCAGTCTGTCAACAATAACAAAATTGGTTATATAGCCTTGCAACCACACTGAGCTGCCTGCTTTACAAGTTATCAATAATGTAAGAAGACATAAAAGATTCCTATGTGAAGCGTGTTGGGCAGTTTGAGTTGGGGAGCATCCTGACAGAGTGTCTCACAAAGGTGGGCAGCACAGCACAAAGCACAGTCTGTCTTTTTAAAACTGATTACCTTGATTTTGCACCATACTGCAGGTTAAGCAGGGTAGATCAGTCTTCAAAAGTTATGTAGGCTGTGTGGGAGCAGCTGTCACCTAATATTGTCTTTAACAAGATTAGGTTGAGATACAAACAGTTTAATAGGGAAAACAAAAGCCACACACACAAGCAAAGCAAAACAGAATGAATTAACTTCTTCCCATGGGCAGGCAGGTGTTCAGCCATCCCCAAGAGAGGCAAAAGCTGGACTTTGTATTACTCAAGATAATTAGTAACTGAACTGAATAATTAGAAACTTTTGTCTTCAGCAATTGCCAACAAAATGGGGCTTTCACCAGGCAGAGATCAAAGTCAGCTTACTCATTAAGAGATTTAGCTGTTCCCTTGGAGGTAAGTATAAATATCTCTTGCTACTATAAGATTCCCTTCTCTATCAGGCCACTAGAGTAATTAGGATCATGAAGTGAATGAAAACTGGTTTCTGAAGTCTGAGTTGGTAGAGGGTTTTTTTTCTGTGTGATCTATGCCATGTTAATGAGCACAACTGCAACTGTGACAGCTCCAGCTCCAAGTCCATGACTGCAGCTTTTAAACTAAACCTAAAAGACAAACCAGAGCTGAAAATTTAGAAGCTGCCTGATTCATCCAGTGCTGTGTCCAGTTCTGGGCCCCTTGCTACAACAAGGACACTGAGGTGCTAGAGTGTCCAGGGAAAGGTAATGAGGGTAACTAAGTGTTCTGGAAGGGGAAAGTGCAGAATGTCCACGTGGGTGTGTGAAAGCCAAGAAGTACTTTCTGAGAAGAGAAGGGCAGTCAAGAGGTAAAGGCTATTACATGTGCATTTAACCTAAAGGAGTTAGCTCTCATCATTGCACTGGGACTTTTGAGATGGAGTCCAACCGTTAGCATGGCACTGCTGATCCATCGAAATCATGGCCCCAAGTGCCACATCCACATCTTAAATATGGCAACTCCATCGCTTCCCTGGGCTGCCTGTTCCAGTGCTTGACTTTTTGGGTGAAGAAACTTCCTAATATATAATCTCAACCTTTCCTAGTGCAACCTGAGGCTATTTCCTCTTGTCCTATTGCTTGTTACTTGGGAAAAGGGACCAACACCTCCTTTCACATAGCTGTAGAGTGGCAAGTTCTCCCTTCTCCAGGCTAAACACCCTCAGCCCCCTCAGTCACTCCAAAACTTCTGTTCCAGACTCTTCAACAGCTTTGCAGCTTCCTGCATTTACTTCAAATGGGCAACTCAGCTGCACAGGCTGACCAGCAGTCAATACAGAAGTAATGTCTGCACCAGAAAGATTTAGGCTGTTTTAGGCTCATCTTTTTTTGGTTCTGTTTTGTGTGTGGGTGTTTTTCTGCTGTTTTGTGGGGTTAGTTTGTTTTTCTTTATGACATTGGCTAATGTGCTAAGTAAGTAGGAAAGTGTGAATTAATGGATCAGATTTGCTTGTTTAAGAAGCCAAAATCCATAGACCTTTAGAACAAAACAGGTATTTATTTAATCAAAATAATTCTCAGAAGTTAAAAACAGAAGCTACCCAAATGGCTTTAACGAACGTACACATTCTCCCTTCCAAATAAAACTATAATTGACACCATATTTTAAAAAAACAACCAAGAAACAGGGGTTTAGGACTTCCACAGGAAGATTTTTTAAACAAATTTGCCAGTTTATACCACTGAGTACAGGAACTAGCTGAAAACGTGAAACATGCTCATTTGCTTTATGAAAGCCTACTAAAGCTACAACTATCACCTGCATTATACTCTAGAAGATGTTAAAATTCACTGGAAGAACACAAGGGATTTGAACAAGGCCTTAAGGAAAGTCAGCATCATGGACCAGCAAGCGTAAGTGTAATCTCTGCAAGATTTGAAACACTACATAGAAGCCACATTTGCATATTAAAACACACATTCTGCATTGGACTCTGATGACTCTTCTAGGACTTTGAAGACACCCATTTTTTCCTTTTTCATTTTGTCAGAGGCCTTCATTTGATCTAAGATTAAAACAAAGGTCAACCATAAGAGGTGTAATAGAAAAGAGATTTGGAAAACAAGTTAAAAAATATTTTGCAGAGTTGGAGAACAAGATGACAAAATTTTGCTCCTTCATCAACAGTTGGCTACTAAAAGTTTGTGTTAAAAAATATTTTTCAGTTGTATGCTTGTATGAAAAAATTCCAACATCTCTGGCTAAATGTGAATGGAGAAAAGAAGTTCTAAAAGCTGCCTGACTTAGTCTCATTTTCCTGAAAAAAGCACCCAGAAAACCTATTTAGTGAAATTACCAGGAGAAACATAAAATTACAGCTCTGATAAGTAATATTCTTTCCAAAAATAAAAACTTCTCTTCCTGGCAATTGCAATCACTTTGTTACCCTTCCAGTGAATATTAAGCTAATGAAAAAGTATTACATTTATATAAATTGAGTAATCATGGCTTACCAGGGTGGGAGGTGGAATTTTGCTTTCTAGAGCACTAACTGCAGTTAATTATAGCAAATATTCAGTATATTATGCCAGACTAATATCTTTGTATGAACATTTTTGGACATCTTTATTATATTAATTTTGATTAGCATAGCAAAGAAGAAAAACAGCA